ATACTTTTGACAAAGTTTTTATTTCCTTTAGGATTAGAAATTTGAACTTTTTGTATCTGCTTTAGATAATAGCCACTTGACAAAATTCTTCTCATTTCTTGATCAGTAGACTATAGCTATTTGTAAAACATCTTAATCATCTGCTCAGTTTGTTAAGCACTTTTCTAGGGGCTAGAGATAGAAAAACTCTGCTTTTGTAAGTTGTTTGTTTTTCTCTTCTTTCTGCCAACTGTAGGACTACTTTGATACTTAGAAAAATTTGTGAGAAATTTGTTTTTTATAGAAATGCCTTAGAACCAGAAAGAATGAGTGGTAAAAGATAAGAAAAAGATATTATTATGTTTCTAATTCTTGTAGAATGTCTTGTTTTATGAATAATTTATACCTTTATAAACCAGCATGATCAGTTACAGCACAGGTGAATAGAAATCATGGTCTTAATAGAATCATGTTGCCTTCTATTTCATTACTTAAAAAAATTAAGTATAGGCTTTTTTTTTCTTTGATATTAGGAATGCTTAAAACTAGTTATCCAGATATGCTCATTTAATAATTTAGTATGAAAGCAAATGTTTCAAATAATATAATTTGCTATATATCTCAAAAGAAATTCTCAGCAGTATTCATTTAAAAATACTTAGCTTTATTGTTTCTGATTTGAATGTGACTGGATTTTCAGTAAGAATCTTTAAAGATTTATGGAAAAAGTTAAAATCATTTTATTTGTGTACTGGCAGATTGCTGATTTTGTTAGCTCTGGTTTGAAGTTTACCTTAGTAGTTGGATTATTATTCCTCCAGTGCACAGTTTTTTGTTTTTTCCTCATCTTAAAATATCACACAGAAGAATGCTGCTTATTAAAGTAGAATTAGTTAAGGTGCTTCTGTATCATTTTTGTGAACCTCCTTTAATAATATTCTCACAACAGCTGCCCTTTCTTGTTTGAATGATGACTTTGTTTTGAAAGTGCCTCTATATTTTTCTATGTAAATGATAGATTATCAAATTCAAAGTTTTCATAAATTATAAACTGTTGAAACAAGAGAAATCTATCCTCGATAATTTCAGAATAATTTTTACGTAAGAAATCTGTGTGTTTATTTCTGAATATGTTGAAGTTTTGAAACTTTGGGCAAAATAAAGAGGTTATATTCTGAAGGTGTGATCTGAATTGGGAGTTTATAAATGGATCCATATCTCTACTTAGCTCTTGTATTTATACAACTTGCTCTATATTCTAACTTGAAAACATTTGCTTTTTAAATCTAAATTGATTATATTTTTAACATTCATTCTGTGGGATGTAATAAATAAATCAAAGGTTTGGAAGTGTTTAACGTAAAGCTTCTGCCGAAGAAGAAGTTGTAAACTTTAGCCTAATATTAATCTGAGCAAGATTTTTTGGGGAGTTGTTTTTCAAAGTGAAGTAGGTTTGTAAACTTGAAAAAAATTACCAAGTGTATTTCCTGTTCAAAATAGACCTTTCCAAAACATTTTCTCTCTGTTTTCACTTAGCTATATGTATTACTGATTTGTATTTAAGAACTGGAGGAAAACTGGGAAATTTGGGAGATCATATATTATTTGTAATTCCTGAATAGGTTTTTAACTATCTTGATCACTGTAGTTAAGTTTTAATTTGGTTTCTTTTATTTGGTAATCAAATAATTCTTATGGGTTATGTTGAAATATTACTATATATGAAAAGGAATGGTTTGTCAAGAAAGTGATTAGAAAGACTAGAGGAAGAATGTTTAATAATTTAAAAACATTTTGTAGGGCTTATTTGCACCATGTAGGTACAGTAAAAAGGTATATAAGATAGCTCTGGTTTACTAATTTTAAGCCTTTGCCATCTGTTAAAGAGATACCCCTTAAGATCTCCAGCTGTGGAATACTTTGTTAATCTGTTKGGGTTATTTATTTATTTTTTGATTTCTTGGAAACTATCTAATTGAAGAACATTCCTTGAGATATTCAGTATTCAAATCTTTTTTTCTAATTTGGGTTTCTTTCCTCTCATCCCTTATCTACTGCCTCTTTGTGATAATAATGTAAAATACCTTTTTAAACCTACTGATCTAAAAATAAAGTTTCTTCAGAATTAGGAGACTCTAGAGCTTAAAATCCATTTGAAACTTTAAATGAAAKAATAGCTGCCGATTAGGCTCATGAAATGCTTTCATAGTTATTTATTTGATACCTCTTGCCTAGATGGCAATTTCACCTCCTTGACTCTTTCAGATATCCTTTTTCATTTCTTTTAATTTTTTGAAATTACAGATTTGACAGTTAAATTCATAAGTTTTCTTAGGCCAAATTGTTTTTATTTCTCATTTGTACAGAGTTGGATATGTTCCTAAGCAGAAGGGTTAGCTCATTYTTTTCATCTTCAGGCTTTTAAAAAGTTTAGTCTAAATGTTGTTAGGTAATGGAATAACCATTCCTTTTCAGCTTTGGGTACATTTCCAAACTGGCTGCCAGAGCCAGGAGAAAGTGAAGGCATTAAAACACTAACTTTGGTTGGTTGCTACTTTCTTAGTGCTGAGACTATAACCTTTGTTGGTTGGTTGATAGAGAACAAGAGAGCACAGTCCTCGGTCCACTAACAGGTAAGGAAATAATAACCAGTTGGTGTGAGAGGGAGGTTACTTGCTAGCATTTATTTTCTTATTTATCCCAAAATATAATGTCCCATAAATAGGACACTGTGAGTGACTACATTCCATTGATTTAGGGATATGCAGCACCTTTTTATTTAGAATAAGATCTGAAATTTAATAGGGATATATCACTCTGTACCACAAAGTATAATTGATCTGTTTTGCAGAGGCAACACTGTTAACATTTATCCTACAGTCCCCATAGCTTTAAATACATATCTGCCTGTCTTATTCTCCTTTCAGCTTTTCCTTGATCAGATGCTATGTGCTTTGACCTTTCTTCTCTCCATTTACTTTATTTCTGTAATAAAGCTAACTGTTTTTCAATATCTTTACCATCATCTATTATTTGGATATGTCTTACTGCTTTAATTTCTACATTCTAGCCATTAATTATTATTCCTGATCCATCTTGACCCAAAACAAAATGGTCTTGCATTTTAAAAAAGATTTTGAATCTGTGTTACATATGTCCACTATTCTGTCCTCCCAGTTTTAAAGATGAATGCTTGATGAATAAGCCCTTTTCARGGGCAGTAGTCATAGCTTTTAAAAATGSAGGTTTAGCCTTGTATTGCTATGATATTGGCCTATACTGTGACTTATTAAATTACTGATGACTTGAAAACTGATAACAARTTCAGCTTCTGATACTTCCTGAAATTTAGTAGCATTCCTGTTAATATGCTTGATTATTCTATTTCTACTTTCAATCCATCTTCTTCTCTTTGACAGAAGAATTAACTGGGACTCYTTTGATATATCTGAGGTTGAATGCCTTTTCCCTGTCCCTTTAAAGACAACTATGGTCTTGTTTCCTGTCCTAATTTATTATTTTTTTTGCTTCGATCTTCCACTCGAAGTTGAGTGGTTTGTCACAGAGTGTGTTATGGCTTAGACCAAAATAGGTCCCTTCTTAATAGTTACTGAGGAATTAATCATTTGTGGTGACAGACTTCTAAAATTCAAATTAAGAAGGCACTAAAGAAAGTATGCCCAAAGATAGCTCCTTTTTGTCCTGAGGATAAGYCATTACAAACTCAAATGACCAGAGAATGTAATTTCTTAATAAGAATTTTTTCTTAAATYTATATTCAGCTCTCTATTTCAGTGCTTCTCTCCTACCAGAGGTGCAAGGAGTGATCCTAGAACCACAGATTCAGCCAAGACCACGGAGAGCTTTTGACGTCAGGGGTCCACTTTCTCTACTGAACCCTTGGAGACAGAATATCCAGCTTCTGGAGAGAGTGGGAAAGGATAATAAACAAGTGGGTGCTTTCCATTATTTACTTGGGTTTATTTATAGATTGGAGTGTCCTTCCATTGCCCATTTTATTCTATTGGTAAAAATCCTTGGGTTCATATTAAGAACCAGGTGGGGCTACAATCTGTTTGTTTTTCTGAGTGCAAAGTAGTGCCCATTCCAAAATAGAAAACTTAAGTTTATTTAATTTTCTCTCCAGATGATTAAAGCAGTAGATGATTTGGAGCACGTGATTTGGTGAATGCCTGTGTAGTCCACAGGAATTTTTAAAAGGAGTATTTACCCATTGTAGCCTTTATGGTAATAGTGGACTTCTAAGTGCTCTTTTACATTCTAATAATTCGAAAAGTTCTGTATTTCATCTTTGGGCAAGCTGGACATCTGAAATCTCTTAATTTATACAGTCAGATGTCTAGGTGTTATCCTACCCTGTTAGTGAGAACTTTTTGGTCTTTTCCTACCTCAAATGTTAGGACTTATTATTAGATCATTTAGAAGATGCAATGATAGTACTGTTATGGTTTTACTATCAAATCCAGGTTTCATTACCAAATGAGTATAAGTTTCAGGATATAATATCCCTGAAAACTGTATTTATTATACTCAAAAGTAGTTTTCTAGTTCTGAGGAATAATGTTATTTGTAGTAGAAGAGCCTTTTGCTAGATTTTCCCCATGGCATTAAGATGGTTTTTTTCTTAGTTTCTTTGATGCCAAGGGTAGGATTTGACTCCAGGAAGTTCTTATTATCTACAATGGGTAGAATGTGAACTTGGTGCCTGTGGCAAGTTTTCATTTTTCCTTGGTGGATTCCTTCTGTGACTCCAGGTATCTTGATAATGGGAGACCGGTTTATTTGTTCTCTAATTGCCCAGATTTCTTTCAACTGGTAAAACATCATACTTCTTCAGCAAAAGGAATTCTTCTAGCAGAGCCTTCATGGATGATATCTGTCACACATGCCAGCACCTGCAGTTTGGAAGGCAGTGGTGAATGGATCCATGCAATATGTGTAGAAGACACAAGGATGAGCGAGCAACCTGATCTTGTTATTTATAAACTTTTAAGATTTACTCTGGTTTACTCTTGTCCGAAAATGAAAAGGCTCAAATAATGAAATAATCTTTTGAGATTGGATTTTTACATGGCCATGAAAATATTCCTTTCTATTCAGAAGACTGAAATAGAGGAAGCTTGAGAGACTCCTTTCTTTTAAAGCAGCTCTCTGTATGTTTCATTTATAAGATTTGTGGGACTGAAAATCACCTTAATGAAGTAGGCAAACTTTTTAAAATAGTATAGGAAATCCAAAAAAAGCCATGAATTTTTTTGTTATTGGCACTGAAAAGAACAAATAAACAAAGGTTGAATTTCTTAATTACTCCAGAATTACTTTTAATATTAGTTTTAATCTTTAGCTCATCTTTTGCTGATCTTGAGCCTTATTCTTATTTGTCAAATCAACAAAACTAGTATAGAAATAGAAGARACATTTTTGAGATCAGAGTAGCTTGGTCTGTCTTCTAAAGTAATAAATACCTATTAAACTTGAGGTATTGTTCTACACTGAAGGCCAACTAAAGTTTGAATGATGTTGTCACATARCAGTAGTTTACAGAGCAAGGGCAAGTTGTGATATTAGAATAAGCCAATAGGTGTGAATACATGTTGCAAAATACATATCCCAACTGTCAGTCAAGAGAAACAGTTATCAAAATGTTTGTTTCTTTTGGTCTATTAACTGGTCAGTCAAAAGCTATTAAAGAACTTTTTAAAAGTCATCTGATGCTGCTGATTTGTTTTATTTTGATATGAATTTTTAAGAAGAGAAATTCTAGAATTACTAATATGTAAGCAACTGAAATGTTTTAGGAATATCAAAGATTTTAGAAGCCACATTTGCTAAAATGTAACCTGGCCTTTAGTCCTTCTTGGCTAAATTTGAGAACTCTTTGTTTTTTCCTCATTATTTATAAATAAATTTTTATAAGTGTAGTACTTAAAAGTAAGTTTAAAATCTCAATTTGAACTGAATTTCCCCCAAAGAACTCTAAATTCCCATAAATGATTACAGCCTTTTATTCCTGACTTGGTTTTTTTGTTAAATGTTAATAAGACAGTTGGTTTACAAACACGTATAAACTCAGAAACAACTACCCAACATTTTTAGAATGCACTCAGGAAACCAAAAGTGAAATTTTTGCTTCAAATTAAGTTAGTTGAATATTTGAACCATGGTTTAAACCATTTTATGGCCTGCTTGTGAGATTATTAGATTTTTGTTTCACCTCTGAAGATGAAAAGAAATYTAATCTCTTAATCTCATGCTTTAATTAAATTTTAGCTCTGTTCCTTAAAGTGTGCAAAAGAAATGTAAGTGCATTTCTATTTATCTCATGCCACTTGAAGCTATTTAAAAGTGAATTTTTTGTATATTAATGTGAACTGATTTGTTTATTTAAACTTTTAGTTTGATGCATTTTTCTTTCAGATTTTTAAAAATAATTTCATGTCACAATATGCAGTCCTATATTTTTTCAGTGTTTATGAATATTAATATAAGCTAATTTTTTTTCTAGAATGACTAATTGTAATATTTGTATTATGTGATCATTTGAAAACTAATAAATGTTTTTTCCATGAAAAAATGCACTTACTGACAAATGGCTTATTTCTGTTTCAGGAGTAGAAAGTGAACACTGCTACAGTATTATAAAGTGTATTTTAATTTTATATGTCTTCCTCATAAGTGTTTCCTGAATATACATTCGATTCTTTCGTGTGTCATAATTTTTTTAAGATAAAGCCCTTTGATCATTAAAACTTTTGAGTTAATAATCAGGAGTAAATGGTCAAATTTTTAAAGACTAAAATGATCAAAATATACCCCTTAAAAAATAGCATGTAGTCCCTCTACTCAAAAAAAAGAAAAAAAGGAAAAGAAAAAGAACATCTGGAAATTGAACTACTCAACTCGTAAGAGTTGTTACCAAAAGAAGAAAAATRTTTTGTATTGAATGTTCTGCTTGAACAAGTGGCTGTAGAAGGAGAAATCTTGATTTCAGAGTCTCTTGTTTTAACCTTATCAAAACAGGCATGGAAAAGGGTAAAATTTGTTTTAATTAAGATTCTTATCTTCATAGCTACATAAACTTATTTAAATGAAGTTGTTGGAAGACTTTACTTTTTTATGTTAGGATCTTCTAGAAACAAGAGGATTTCCTTTTAGATTTGAACAAAGTTACACAAGAAATGGACTCCAAACAATTTTAAATAACATTAAGATGGGGTCCTAGTCAAGATATGAAAATGGCATTAATGTCAACCTGTGGATTAAAATGTGATAATTTGACTTCCCAAAAAATTATGCTCTGAAAAAATGAGAATTATAAAAGTGACTTGGAATATTGGGGCAGAGGAAAGGAAGGCAAAATTCTTGCCTTTATTAATCTGGTAAGTTTGGAAAAGATCAGTTAATGATTCTGTGAACAAAAGTTTTATTTTTATAATTAAATCTTTTAAAAGCTTTACAGATATATTTCATTGGAAGGGTGTATTTTCTTGAATCCAAAAATTTATAAGCATTTCCTATAAATGTGTAAAGGGTGGAATGGAGGTGGGGATGAAAAATATCCTGCATCAGAAAGTTCAGAAATATTGCAAAGATAAGTAATTTTTCTTACATGGACTCCCTATACTATCAATAGCCTTCAAAATAAAAATGTTGCAGAATGTTGGAACTTGACTTATTACCATTATGTCTTCAAGGTATAAGAACATAAGCTTATGGTGTCACCATCATTGATTAGACGAACTTTAGTATAAAAGTCTGTTTTGATTGTTTTTTAGTGAGGAAACAAAGGTTGATTTATTTTTTGGTAGCTTATGTTTTAAAAAAGTCACAAGCCTGCAACGTACTGACCTTAGAGCTTATTGTAAATATGTCCACATATCTTATTTTCCTTTGCTATATTGAAACAGTTGAGCAAAATGTCAGTGCTTAGATGTCCTAAGCAAGTTTTTACTATTTAAATTCAGTTTTTTTTTCTATTAAAATATTCCATATTAGCCCTAAAATGTGAATGTTTCAAGAAGAAGCACATAGGTTCTCAGAGTTTTTACCCACTAATATGTGCATCTAAGATGATTATATTACTGCAGTAAATGTTAGGGAATTGTGAAGTATGCATCGGAGTTTTCAGAAATAATGATCAAAGGGATCTCTGCTCGAGGTAAGGTATGGCCTAGGTAGAAAAATGTTCAAAATATGTTCAATATAATGTCTGTTGACAAAGTAAACTTTATCAGATACAACAGATATCCTTGCTGTTTCAGACAGATGTAGAATTTGGAAAATGATTTATTCTTAAAACTCTCAGAGAACAGAAATGGGCAAATCACAGATTTGTTTTTGTGTGAGTATGGAATGCATCAAGAAACATGTCTTTGGGGTGTATGTAGCCTCTGATAATACAAGGCATCACCTACCTTAGCTCTTGTAGTATTTATAATACATATTTAACTTAGTATTTCTTAAGCCTTGAGCACTATAAAAATATGCGTGCTTTGCAAAGAAAGTTTGAGTACGCATTCCTTGAAATTATTGCCTTGCTTCATTTTGGCTATGTGTGCCTATTTTTTATTAAATGATACTTAGGACTCCGAAAATAATTGCTTGACTTATTTTATTTTGGCTTGAGACATTGATTTAGGGAATTTTATAAATATTAACTTACACTAACTTGGGAATTTTACTAAAGATTAAAAAATAATATTGTAGYCTAATGTACAGTCATTAAGAGAGGAATGTTTTATTTTCTAAGGAATATTAAGTAGGTTCAAAGAGTTGTGTGTTAATATAATATTTAGTTTATTTAAAAATAAAGGAAGCTACAATATTGAATATAGATCAGACAGGAATACAGATTAGGATTTTTTCCTAGAATTACTGAAAAAATTTACTGAATGGATGATAGTATAGAAAACATAGTAATCTTCAGGTTTGAGTTCTTTGATAAGAACTGCAGCTTATGGACATTTGGGTTTAACTTGAAACAATTTGCTATTTATTTCACTTTTCCCTTTATCCAGCACAGAATAATAAGTTAGTATGAATTAGTGGTACAACCCACCATTTCATGAGGTAGCTGGTTCCGTGTTCAGGAGGGTCTGAGAGTAAGAAGTTGAGAATTTGCACCTACGCCTTTTTATTTTGAGAATCACCTTAGAAATTATCCAGCTTAGCACCCTCATTTTACTTATAAGATGATTGATATCTAGAAACATCACATCACATGCATAGTATTGAACTCAGTAAATGATAAATCTTCTGTAGGACTCAAGTTTTTTTGTTTTTTTGTTTTTTTTTTTTTTTTTTGACTACCCAGCTCAGGTACTGCTCTAGTACCTCCTCTTGTTGATCCTAGTTCTGGATGACAGAATTCTGATCTCTTTCAGATATGACAGTCTTAAACATAGCTATTAATTCCCCATCAGTTTCAAGTCCAAATTCTTTTCTATAAATTATTTATCCCTGTGTTCTTACCTCTTATTTGTGAAGCCGAGATCTTAAAAGTTTTGTTTATCTTTGAAYGTACTTCAGTTTCTCATTGTTTCTCTTAATGTGCAACCCTCAACCAGCATCATGCAGATATGCTCTTCCAGGGTTGTTAGGATACATGACCTTATGTTTGTCCATAGAGTCATCATACCACTTTGTCCTTACATATTTATCCAGTGAGATGCATGATTTTATGCACCTCCTAATTTTATGATTCTCCTAGGCAGATAAATTATAGTGATAAAACAAAATATTTTATATGTTAAATAAGGCTAGTCTGTTTATGCAAAGACTTAAAATGTGCATAATTTAGTAAAAGAATAATGACTCAAGGTAATAGCTAAGATCTTGGGAAATCATAGATAAAAGTATAATCTCCATTTAAGGTATTTTTGCTTTTATTGCTTCTGACTTAGTAACTATAAATTCTATGTTACATGACTTGTGCAATATAAAATGTTATTTTTCAGATTGTCTTTGCAAATTTAAGGGTAATTAGGGCTGTTGGAGCCAAACTTTTTTTGTGACTGGCATTGAGAAGAAAATGAACTTGTATTTAGTAAAATAATTAAAATTTGGGATGAAAGGCAACTTAGAATGACTTCCATGAAAATGTTTGGAATATATAACAGCAGAAGATGGTGAAGAAATAGCCTGGGAAATCTGAGAAAGTGACCAAAGACCCAATGCAAACATAGTCTTGTGTTGCATTTTGAAACATAATGCAAACACTACCATAGCAACATTCAGTGTAACACTTTTGTTTAATTGCCAGTTAGGATATTTAGCTTTTCCCCCAAATACTAAAATGACATCCATGAAGATATGAGGTGTTTATTTAGTGGTTGAATGTGCATCTAAGGGTACTAATACCTCTGTTTGAAAAACACAGATTGAGATAGGATATACAGTTATKCCTTGGTGTCTTCAGGGAATTGGTTCCAGAACCCTATGGATATAAAAATCTACAATTGCTCATGTCCCTTTTATAAAATAACATAGTATCTTCTGTAACACACCCACATCCCTCCCATATACTTTATTTTTGGTCCTGCAGTTTGAACCCAAGAGTGCTCTACCACTGAATATATCCCAAGTCTTTTTTGTTTTTGTGTTTTGGACAGGTTCTCACTAAGTTGCTAAAATTCCCCTTGAACTTTGTGATCCTCTTGTCTCAGGCTCCCAAGTTTCTGGGATCACAGGCATGTGTTACCTCGCTCA